GACCCTCTATGTCTCCTTCGTTTCCCGTAGTCTTTAGGAGATTCTAAAGCGTTGTTTCCGGTAATCGGATCTGAGCTAGATCGGCGAATTAACGGAAGTGTGTTATTATCATCATCATCGAAAGAGCTACTTTGGCTGAGAATCTCGAACGATAGTTTTCTCCCGGAGATCCTAACCGCCATTGTTTTTACGTATACGAAAGAGGAACAATGGAGAGACGAAGCGAATACATAAATAAAAAAAAATCAAAAGAATCAAAAATGGGTTCACGAAATCGAAAAGCAGAGGAGACAGAGGAGAAGAGGGGAATTGTTTGTTGTTGTCGAGACGCAAAACGCTGATTTGGAAACGGCGTTCAGATGCGTTGTACGCGACTAAAGAAAGACTGTGACGAAGCCTGCCAATTATATGCTGACACGTGTCTCTGACATGCCGCTTCTCACTTGTTTTTTTCCATCACTCGAATCAAACAAGGTTTATCATCAATCTCCACAAATGAACTTAAACCAAAATTGCAATCAAAACAGCCACTTGGATCATTCTCTTGGATTGAACTTCAAATCTAGAATATCAGTGTCTTTGGCCATGGCTTCAACGTCCTCTTGAAATGGTTAGAGAATGGTCCATGAACTAATTCTTGTGAATTTGATTCGATGATGACATTACGGTATTTCAAGTTTTGAATGCAGAAAATTGTTTACCATAGTGTTTTCATTTCTAAGTCGATGACCGAAATCTCCAACACAATTTGCACTAAGAAGACCACATGCTTATGTGATACAAAATTGTAAACTTTCCCATTCCACATAAATCATTTTAGGTTGGAAAAAGGACCACTATCAAAATATCTGAACGGAACTTTAGTGAGATGATTTGGCTCCGTAAACATTAAAACTCGTAATGGTGAGCACTTTTAGAAAGCATTTGATAAAGATTGTATCTTTAAAACTATAATTCGGTCCACGAAATTTTGTTTTGGTAACTAGGAAGTTCTGAATCCGTCTTTGATAATATCGCGCGTAAATCGTCATTTGTTTGAACCCAGTATGCAAGTCCAACCTTCTTAGACCGACGACGGACCAAGCAAACATCACCTGGTACATCGACTTAGTACCGTCCACGAAATTTGCAAATGAAGTTTTGCAAAATGTAACCTCTAAAGCCAAAATTTT